GTCTGGTCCCGCTCTGGTCTCGGTCTGAGTCTGGTCCTGGTCTGGTCAGTCTGGTCCTGGTCTGGTCTGGTCTCGGTCTGAGTCCCAGTCTGGTCCTGGTCTGGTCTTGGTCTGGTCTCGGTCTGAGTCCCAGTCTGGTCCTGGTCTGGTCCCGCTCTGGTCTCGGTCTGAGTCCCAGTCTGGTCCTGGTCTGGTCCCGCTCTGGTCTCGGTCTGAGTCCCAGTCTGGTCCTGGTCTGGTCTCTGGTCTCGGTCTGAGTCCCAGTCTGGTCCTGGTCCTGGTCTGGTCTGGTCTGGTCCCGCACTGGTCTCGGTCTGGGTCCCAGTCTGGTCCTGGTCTGGTCCCGCTCTGGTCTCGGTCTGAGTCCCAGTCTGGTCCCGCTCTGGTCTCGGTCTGAGTCCCAGTCTGGTCCCGCTCTGGTCTCGGTCTGAGTCCCAGTCTGGTCCTGGTCTGGTCTTGGTCTGGTCCCGACCGTGGGACTCTATTTTAATGCAAACGCCGCAACAAATACAAACGCCACAACACAAACGCAAAAGCCACAACACATCTAAAAGCCACAACACATTAAAAAGCCACAACACATTAAAGCCACAACGTGACTCTATTTTCCGACGGACCAATCAAGCGGCAAGTGAAGAAACTACAACGTGAAGCAAATTACAATAAATTACTTTTACTTACGTTTCCAACTTCTCCGTTCCTTTACTTTTCACGTTGTAGTTCTTCTTCTTCACTTGCCGCTTGATCGGTCCGTCGGAAAATAGAGTCCCGCTGTCACTTCCATTGTGGCTTTTTAATGTGTTGCGGCTTTTTAATGTGTTGTAATGCTTTTTAATGTGTTGTGGCTTTTGCGTTTGTGTTGGGGCTTTGTATTTTTTTGCGGCGTTTGCATTAAAATAGAGTCCCGCGGTGATTTCCGTTGTGGCTTTTTTTGGTTTGTTGTGGCTTTTTTTTGGTGTGTTGTGGCTTTTTGTCGAGTTGTCGCATTTGTATTTGTTGCGGCGTTTGCGTTTGTTGTGACCCCTCTCGGCTTCCGTATCTCACTTGTTTGTCCATAAATAAAGATCTGAACATTCATAACTGACCAATCAGGCGACTTCTTTCCCAACGTCACTCACACTTAGTCCTTATTTCAACTTTCACTTCAAAATGACCAAAATGTTTCTTATATTTCTGAACGTTTTGGTTTGTTTCGGGTGTGTTCAGATGCTGGAGAAGCTTCGGGATCGCTGGGTGAACACGGGTCTGTGGGAGAAACTGGAATCTTTCAAAATGGTGATCGCAGAACCACGAGGAGGAGCCAAAGGAGACTTCGACGAGCTGCTGCAGTGTTACTACGACGCCATCAAATACACGGACCACAGAGGTGAGGAACGGGTCAAACGCACGGGCCGCGGAGGTGAGAAACGGGTCAAATGCACGGACCACAGAGGTGAGGAACTGGGTCAAATACATAGACTACAGAAGTGAGTAATGAGGCCAAATATGTCGACCACAGAGGTGAGAAACGGGTCAAATGCACGGGCCGCAGAAGTGAGAAACGGGTCAAATATACAGGCTACAGAGGTAAATCTGGGTCAAATACACGGACCAGGGAGGTGAGAAAATGGGTCAAATGCACGGGCCAGAGAGGTGAGAAATGGGTCAAATGCACGGGCCACAGAGGTGAGAAATGGGTCAAATATACGGACCAGAAAGGTGAGAAACGGGTCAAATACACGGGCCACAGAGGTGAGAAACGGGTCAAACGCACAGGCCACAGAAGTGAGAAACTGGGTCAAATGCACGGGCCACAGAGGTGAGAAATGGGTCAAAAAAGGCCACAGAGGTGAGAGAAATGGGTTGAATGCAGATCATAGTTGAGAAACCGGATCAAATACACAGACCAGAGAGGTGAGAGAAACTGGGTCAAATACACGGGCCAAAGAGGTTAGAAATGGGGTCAAATACACATGACACAGAGGTAAAACTGAGTCAGATACATGGACCAGAGGTGGAAAAAACGGGTCAAAAACATAGGCCACAGAGGTAAAACTGGGTCAAATGCCCAGACCACAAATGTGAAATAAACTGGGTCAAATACACAGACCACAGTGGTGACAAATGAAACTGGGTCAAATATATGGGCCACAGAGGTGAGAAACGGGTCAAATGCACAGGCCACAGAGGTGAGACACACATAGTCGTAGTTCATAATAAATTTGCAGATCGTCGCTTTAAAAATCCCTGTCCCAGATTTTTTTCTCGCGCGTTTGACAAAAGTTTGAGTAAAATATTGTGTGAGCAGCTCTTGAGATGGAAGACGTTCCCCGTGCGCGTCTGCGTCTCTAAAAGTTGTGTGTTATTTTAAATCTTGAGTTGTTTTGTTTCGGGTGCAGACGGAGCGTTGCTGATCGCCGTGTGCAGAGGAAAAGTGAGCGAGGGTCTGGACTTCACGGACGATAACGCTCGAGCCGTGGTCACCATCGGGATCCCCTTCCCCAACATCAAGGACCTGCAGGTGACCACGCTCCACTCACTTTTACTGACGATTCAGAAACAAACACTGTCTTTTGTTTTTGTCGGACTTTTTCTTTTTTTTTGAACTTTTATTGCCACAAATCAAATCACATCAACACTGTCCTGAGACCGGGCCTTCTCACAGTTTATATATTCACTTTTTTGCCCCTTCTCTCTCCCCACTTCCCCCTCCAGAAGAAGAAAGAGAGAAAAACAAAACTAAAATTTGCAAAAACAAATAAAAAAAATTTAAAACCAAAACATAAAGAATAAGGCATATTAGGGCATACATGTCTTATTTCGAAAAGTCAGTAATTGGGCTCCATTTCTTTTCAAAAGCTGCCACCTTGAGCTGTAGTTGAGCCGTTAAAGGTTGTATAGAGGATTTTCCAAGGAACGAGAAATCCAGCGACTGTTTGTCCTTTTTCAAATGTTGCGCATGCGTGAAACCACCTCCCCTCCCCTACAGCTCCTACGTAGAAACGCCTCCTCCCGCCTCCTCCTTACGCCAGAAACAGGTTTGTTTACAGCCGGTGAGCTGCACATGACTTGTAAACAACTAACTACAGTGTTGGTTAGGCAAGACGGAGAAGTGAGGAGTGGGGGGAGCGGGTGTGCGGACATTTCGTTCGCGGACGAGAAGTGAGGAGCAGGGAGAAGAGCGGAGCAGGGAGAGAGGAAGAGAGGAGAGGGGAGAGAGGAGAGAGGAGAGGAGAGGGGAGCGGTGCGCGGAGATTCCGTGCCCGGAGAAGTGAGGAGCAGGGGGAAGAGCGGAACGGGCAGCGGGGAGAGGAGCAGGAAAGGGGAGCAGAGAAGAGTGCGCGGAGATTCAGTGCGAATGAACTAGCTACAACACGCAGCAGCAAGCGGACTCTTTCTTTGCCTTGAAAATTACGTTTTCAGACATAGGATATCGCTTTCGTGTCCTGAAAAACGTTTGACTAGCTCTTGGAAATAAAGTACGTTTTCATAATAAGCAGAAGTTTCCTGTCCAGGAGTAATTTGTGGACCAGTGCGTCAGTCTTTAGACCCTGCGTCTGCTTCAGTCGCGCCATCGCTGGAATGAATCTTCAAGAATCACCTTAGTTTGTCTTCGCTGCTTTTCCCCCTTGTCTTCTTCTTTCAGCGACCTCAAAAACGGACTTTCTTTTGCGGCTAACTGCTCCTGGATACTTGTCGCCATTGCAACAAACTTTGTGCGAACTGCGAGGAAGATATAGGTCAAAAAAAGCCGCTAAGAACTGTTGCGTTGGTGGAGTAAACAGCGTCTGTGCGGCTTGCGTCTGTGGACTGCGTGACAGTCGTACGTAAACCACGTACCGACAGCGCAGGCAAGTCAGTTACGCTAGAAACGTAGGGAGATTGATTGACAGCCTGTCAGCTCACAGATAACGAGGCAGTGTCGTTATCTATTGGCAAATGTTTAGCCCCACCACGTCCAGAGTTGATGAATTTTTATTCTTTTTTTTTTGGTCATCATAATTACAAGGCTACTGCACCTCTATAATGCTATTATTGACAACTTGAAACAAAAAAAACAAAAAAAAAATCCTCCATACAACCTTTAACAGTTCCATTGTATAAACTTGTCTGATTTTTGATCTCCACTGTTCAACGGTCGGTATTTCAGGTTTCAGCCAGTAGATCGTGATCATTTTTCTTGCAGTCAACAGAAGAAAATGCAGCAGAAAACTCTGATCATGAGAGAGACCGTCAGGGAACATGTCAAGCAGAAATACCTTTGGGTCCATCAACAGGTCCACAGCCGATATATTTTGTAGAACATCTTTAACATTAATCCAAAAACCTTTTATATTGGGGCAGTCCCAAAATATGTGAGTCTGGTCGCCCACAAGTCCACACCTCCTCCAACATTTATCACTAACACTACATTTTGAAATAAAAGTTTTGAGCGGGGTTCTAAAAAAATCTTAATTTGACCTTCCAGTCAAACTCCTTCCAAATCTGACTTCCCAGCCCTTTATGACAACCAGAACAAACACCCTCCCAGGTATCGTCATCCGAAGTCACATTCATTTCCATTTCCCATTGTTGTTTTATATGATTTGTATTATCAGACACGTCTGTTAACAATTTTTGGTAAATCTTGCTCACTTGCTTTTCCAATACACCAGAGTTTTCAAGTAGATCACAAAAATATTTCTCAATTTGTCGGACTTTTTCAAACACCCATCCCCCTCTCCTCTTTATCTCTCTCCTTGTCTCTCTCTTTCTCTCTCCTGAATCCACCTGTACCTTTTTGTTGAACCGTGAGCTGAATTCCCAAAGCGACGCTGCAGTGTGGAGCCTGTCCTTAACACACAGAATGACCTTTACTTTTAGACCCTTTCCTCTCTCTCTCTGTTTGTCTCTCTGTCTTTCTCTCTTTTCTCTCTGTCTCCATGTCTCTCTCTCTTCTTGCTTTTCTCTCTGTCTCTCTCCATTTCTCTTTCTCTCTCTCTGTATCTCTCCCTGTGTCTTGCTTTCTCTCTCTGTCTCTTTTCTCTCTGTTTCATTCTCTCTTTTTGTCTCTATTTTCTCTCTCTGTATCTCTCTCTGCTGTCTCTCTCTCTCTCTCTTTTCTCTCAGTCTCTCTCTTTTGCTTTCTCTCTTCCTTTCTGTCTGTCTGTCTCTGTCTTGTTGTCTCTGTTTCTCTCTCTCTCTCTTTTTCTCTATTTTCTCTCTGTATCTCTCTCTTTTTTTCTCAGTTTTTTCTCTCTTTTCTCTCTGTCTCTCTCTCTTTCTCTCTCTGTCTCCTTGTCTCTCTCTTTCTCTTTGTTTCTTGCTTTCTCTTTCTCTCTCTGTCTGCCTCTGTCTTGTTGTCGCTGTTTCTCTTTCTCTCTCTCTCCTGTCCCTCTCTTTGTCTCTCTCTTTTCTTTCTCTGTGTCTGTCTCTTGCTTTCTCTCTGTCTCTCTCTCTTTTCTCTCTATATATCGCTCTGTTTCTGTTTCTCTCTCTCTGTATCTCTCCCTGTGTCTTGCTTTCTCTCTCTGTCTCTTTTCTCTCTGTTTCATTCTCTCTTTTTGTCTCTATTTTCTCTCTCTGTATCTCTCTCTGTCTTTTGCTGTCTCTCTCTCTTTGTCTCTCTGTCTCTCCTTGTCTCTCTCTTTTCTCTCAGTCTCTCTCTTTTGCTTTCTCTCTTTCTTTCTTTCTGTCTGTCTCTGTCTTGTTGTCTCTGTTTCTCTCTCTCTCTCTTTTTCTCTATTTTCTCTCTTTCCTCTCTGTATCTCTCTCTTTTTTTCTCAATTTTCTCTTTTCTCTCTCTGTCTCTCTCTCTGTCTCTCCTTGTCTCTCTCTTTCTCTTTGTTTCTTACTTTCTCTTTCTCTCTCTGTCTGCCTCTGTCTTGTTGTCGCTGTTTCTCTTTCTCTCTCTCTCTGTCCCTCTCTTTTCTCTCTCTTTTCTTTCTCTGTGTCTGTCTCTTGCTTTCTCTCTGTCTCTCTCTTTTCTCTCTATATATCGCTCTGTTTCTGTTTCTCTCTCTGTATGTCTCTGTCTCTTTCTCTGTTTCTCTCTCTGTCTCTCTCTCTCTCTGTCTCTCATTTTTTCACTCTCTGTGTCCTTCTCTCTCTATTTCTCCCTTTTCTCTCTCTTTGTCTTTTGCTGCCTCTCTCTCTTTGTCTCTTAGTCTCTCCTTCTCTCTCTCTTTTCTCTCTTTTCTCTCTCTGTCTCTTTCTTTTGCTTTCTCTCTTTCTTTCTGTCTCTCTTTGTCTCTGTCTTGTTGTCTGTTTCTCTCTCTCTCTCTTGCTCTCTTTTTTCTCTATTTTCCCGTTTCTCTCTGTAGCTCTCTCTCTTTTACTCTCTCTGTCTCTCTCTCTTTCTCTTTGTTTCTCACTTTCTCTGTTTCTTTCTCTCTGTCTCTTTCTCTGTCTCTTTCTCTGTCTCTCTCTGTCTCTTCTCTGTCTCTCTCTGTCTTTCTGTTTCTTGCTTTCTCTTTCTCTCTCTCTCATCCTGTCTTTCTCTTTATCGCTCTTTCTTTTCTCTTTTCTCTCTCTCTCTTTCTCCGTCCACTCTGTTTCAAATAAACTCTCCCTCTTTTTTTATTTTTTTATTTTTAAGTCAGTAAAAATCAGGTCCAGTTTCCTTTAAACCCTCGCGTATCATCAGAAAACATCGTCCACCTTTTAATCCAAAGTCTCGTTTCCCAAACATCCCCAAACTCTTCTTCTCCTTCTTCTTCTTCTTCTTCTTCTTCTTTCTTTACAGCCGTTCCACAGAAGCTCGTGAGAAAACCCTCCTCTCTCCCTCCCCGTTATAAATCAGCGTCTGCGCGGCCTTTGCGTGCCCGCCTCTCCCCTCCGCGCCCGAACATTCTTTCCAAAACCCTCGTCCGTTTTATATATCTCTGTTTTCTCTTTGAATTAAACCCCTCCGTGCGGCCGCGTGACGCTGAAAAGCCCGGCCTCAGCTCTTTACGGAGACTCCTTATCAGCCCTTAAGTGTGTTTTTATGGCTCGTTAAAGCAGATTATTGTTTCATGAAAGAGGTAGCTGGACGCAGTAAAACACGCGATTGGGAAAAACGCTCGGGATCCGGGGGTCTCGCTTTGATCAGGGTGACAGTACCACTCCGGCGCAGTAAAACGCGATGCTCCCGCGCTCAGACGCCGCAAAACCTCTGAGTTATAACCGTCGGGGAATGTGCCCAAGACGAGAGACGGTTTATAAAAGAGAATACAGGTTTTACACGGGCACCAGGTTTCGGCCGTTTCACTCCGAGTTGGAATTTTCATCGTCTCCAAAACATGCCGCCGTTTCTTTTTTTTTTTTTTTCCGAGCTGTAAGACGCCGCGCGAGTCTTGTTAAATGTCCCGTATTCTGCGTTTTCGGGGTTTTTAAAAGAGCTTATATTACACAAAACTGCCCCTCGTGAGGTTTAAGACGTGTTATCGTGTTGTTACCTCATCAAAAACAGACCCACTGTGGTCATTTTTATTTTTTTAGTTGGCGTCAATTTAAAGAAAAGAAGAACAGCAACAAAAAATCTGACAATTAACATAAATC